AGGTTTTTAATGACTTCTTTATCTCTCTTTCTCTCCCCAAGACGCCACTGTACAGAAGAAATGGTTCCTTTAAACAGCTAAATGAACTAGCATCTCCAGCCTACACCTTGAGGGCCCCTGAATTCCTTGGTTTTTTTTTTCCTAATATTTATGTACATAAAGGGATACTAGCTTCTGGCCTAATATTCCAGGGACAGTTACTCAGCAATCTTGGAGTGTGGGTCTCGGACCACCCCTAACTGCAAACTAACTATTCACATGTTTCACTCAGTAATTGGTGGCCACCTACATAGGAAAAATACTTGAATGAGTCTCACAAATGGGATTTGGCGCAGAGACTTGTCCGCGGTCTTCTGAAGGCCTCTGTCTTTGCTGGTGGTCAGACAATATTTTGTAAACCGTGTGGGATACTTGACCTGTTACCACCACAGCTGCTGATACCAGAAGGAAGCAGCGGCGTCCCGCAAGCTCCTGGCTCTCCTTGCTTGTACACAGATGTTAGTTTCTGCTATATGTATTAATAATAATAATAATAATAATAATAATAATAATAATAATAATAATAATAATAACAATAATAATATAATCTTTATTTCTACGTGTACAAGGTATACAGTCCTAGCTGGCATCAAAGACATGCTACTGTATAGAAAGCCGCTTGTTATGCAGAACATTTCGGGCAAATTAGGTCAATTTTGTCCCATGATACGACCCACACCAGTCTACTAACACCCAGGTACCCATTTTACTGATGGGTAAACAGGGACAACAGATGTAAGGAAACACGCCCATATTTCTTTCCTTCCCGGGAATCGAACCCGGACCCTCAACATGTGAAGTGAGATCTTTGCCTACCAGGCCTCGAGCCACCTAATATGACATGACCTTAATGTCTAAGGCTACATTATTAATTCTAATATTATTTATCAACAATTTAAACCTATCAAAATAATTCTTAAGGCATAAATCTATCACTATGCACACTATTTTTGTAATAGTTGCCTAGTGTAAGGATGCGTAAAATCTACTCACGACCACGACCCAGAAATATTTACATCCGAATCTGACAGTGGAATTTTTTTGGTACAATAAATTTCCACACATTCTGCCTTTTTTACACATTTCTTTCACAATCTTCATATATTTTTTTTATTTCAATACCGAGTTAATGGTGCAGCCACCGGGGGGAGGCCTAAGGGAGCTAAAGCCCCCATCCCCGATGCAAATACCTTTTTTATTACGTTTGATATACCTTTGATGAGTTCCAAGAGTTTTGCTACTCCCAGAGCCTGACCTTAGGCCAGGATCGTCAGCAGACAACCAGGCTGTTGCTACTGGTTGCTGCTGACCCACATATCCATCACAGCCTGGTTGGTCCGACACTTGGTGAATATAGCTTGTCCAGTTTTCCCATGAAGACTTCTATTAATGGCTAATTTTCATTGTGTTATATGGACCAGCTACCATAAAAGCACGATACTTCAAAAAATTTCACATACATACATACTGAAAAGCATGTTTATAAACATGCTTTTTTCAGTACCTTGTTTATTTTTAAACTCCTCCCAGATTGAAACCCTGACCTAAGTTCCCCCTTCCTTTCTGATTGAAATCCTGACTGTGCCACTACAGAGATGATAGAAGACGGTAAAAGATGAAGAAATTAGTCCTTCATTCTAGAAGCTGGTGTTCGATATCTTATAGTTTTAATGATTCAAGGCTAAGACACTGAACACCGGCTTCTAGGCTGAGGGACTGGTTATCTCTTCCTTTGTTTTCTGTGTATAACTGCAAGGCTGAGGAACTGCTTAACTTATCTTTTGTCTTCGTATATCGTATCTGTATTGAATTAAAACCACTGGTTTGCGAAATATCTTCAAATAAAGATGCCCATATTGTTCCACGCATGTCTAATTCCTCATCCTGTCAGTGTTGTATATTATTATTATTGCAACGCATTAGTCATTATTGTGATAACGTCACAGTTGTATCAGTGCGTTACTGCAAGGTTTTAACTCTGTCACCTTGTCACTGTATCTGTGTAAGGTTTTTTTTTTCTTCACTAACTAGTCTTGTCTCCTCTGCAGGCAGGCACCACACCACTTGCCCCTCCTACGCCTATTCTTACCGTTGCCTCGCCTAGGTCTAAGATCGCATCTTTGCCAGCCTCTGTCACATCTTGCAAGGTCATACCGCCCCGCCCACAGCTCATTCACCGTCAGAGGTCAGCCTCTACTGGCGACTACTACGCCCAGTACGTCACCCCCGACGGTAGGTCAAGGATCATCCTATTTGTTTGGTTTTCAAAATCCTACTCTTTTATCCCTGGTTCTAAGGTTTAATGTACTTACGGATGTATTCTTTAAGGATTAGTAACACTGCTCAATAAATTCCTTCCTTGAGTCAAAACTCAACAAGAATCTCCCTTTCGTCAGGTGACTGCCATTTTCTAAAAACAACCATAAGGACGGGTTCATATGACCAGATATTACCCATCAGCATTTCAGATCATTATCCATGTTAAGGATGCTTGGTTCTCACTGTGCAACACACCCAATGGAACATCCAATTGCCACACTAAAGCAATGTAAAAATCCCGAGAGGGAAAGTGGGCCATGATCAACTGAGACTTTATCCATACTGCTAAGGAAATCTGCTACAGTGCATTGTGGTGTGATTTTATAATAATAATAATAATAATAATAATACATGTACAAGGTATACAGGCCTAGTTGACATCAATGATTTACTACTATACAGAAAGCCGCTTGTTATGTAGAGCATTTCGGGCAAATGATGTCAGTTTTGTCCCAGGATGCGACCCACACCAGTCGACTAACACCCAGGTACCTATTTTATACTGATGGGTAAACATGGACAGCAAGTGTCTTATGGAAACACGCCCTTAATGTTTTCCAGCAGCACTGGGGATTCGATCTCCGGACCTCAGTGTGTGAGCTGAGTGCGTTAGTGATCGAGCTAGCGCACTCAGACACAAACACAAAATACATAGTCCACAGGGAGTCATTGTGAACGAAGAATTGTAGAGGCCGTAAACCAAACCTACGAGTATGATGTGAACATCACCATTAAAAAAATTCAGATCAGTACTGTCTTAGAATTGTCAGGTTCCACTATAGACCCAGATCGCATTGTAGAGAACTGTGCCATCTCGGGTGCCGGGTGATATTTGTTTATATATTCTTTAATTTTTTAGCAGTATAAACAAATTTCACTCTAGTAAATAACAAAAAGGCACAATACCGTGACTGGAACGATACACAAATAACCCGCACATAAAAGAGAGAAGCTTACGACGACGTTTCGGTCCGACTTGGACCATTGACAAAGTCACACTAACAGAGGTGGAGCAGGACGGCTATATATAGGCAGGAAGAGGTGGAGGTAGTAGTAGTACAAGAATTGTATATAATACCGACATGCCCGGGTGTTGTGCATGTGTCATTTCATCCTGTCGGTATTATATACAATTCTTGTACTACTACTACCTCCACCTCTTCCTGCCTATATATAGCCGTCCTGCTCCACCTCTGTTAGTGTGACTTTGTCAATGGTCCAAGTCGGACCGAAACGTCGTCGTAAGCTTCTCTATTTTATGTGCGGGTTGTGTATTCACTCTAGTAGTAAAAACATTTAGAAAATCGAAGTAAATTAAACATATATAATTATTCTGGTAGCCTTTTTAAACAAGACTGCAATATGTAATTGTGTTAGGAAATATAGTGAGCTTACTTACTGATCAGATCCGACTGGTTCCGAGCCCTTGACTGGTTCCGAACCCTTACCGGTTTCAAACGGATTCGTTGGACAATAAAGCAGACTGTAAACAGACGGGGTTTTAGGCGCCCTTATCAAACACAAACAATAAATATAAAACAGAAACATATACCGGTAAGCTGTCCTAATTTACAAGTACAGTTAGAAATATAAATACAAATAGCCAGATCTTCACTTTAATGAGGTTATTAGTAGAATATTCAGGGAGTTACTAGTAGAATTACAATAAATCAACCATTCAAATCACATTATAAAATTCTGTGTAGTCTGCAGTAAATCAAACAAACGGGCTTCCACATGGATTACATGCCATTTTTGTGAAAATTGGTGTCATGGCCTTTGTGCAGATACTCAAGAATTATCTACACGCAGTATTAAATCAGGGAAGTGTTTTTAGGTATGCCCAAATGAAATCAATCTGTGGACTAAAATCACATTGATATTAAAAGAGGATAACATCAAAGCAGCCTTCATAGAAAACCTGGAAGCATTCTATAACAGATGGGAAAATAAAAAGTAGGCTGGATGGTATCGCCCTTGGTGCTGGCCATGTAGTCAGAAACTGTAAGGCTGGAGGTGCTGCCCTGGTAGACAGTAAATGTGGGGCTGGAAGTGCTGTCCTGGTAGACAATAAATGTACGCATGAGGGAATGTATATAAACGACCTCGAGGGAGACAGGAGCTGCAGTGGGGAAACAAGTGTAGTCAAGGACAAGATAAAACCAATATTACAAACTAGTAATACCACAGGAGATAGCAAACGAGGGGACTCCACTAACAGTAGTGAGGATATATTAAACAACTGGTGAGAGTTCCATTGTTAGTACGAGTGAGGATAGGAATGAGACAGGTAAACATGCATCAACAGGGAATACAGTCACAAAAACCCAAGGCAAACAGAAACCAAGCCTGCGCACATACTATGCACTTGGCATCTGCAGGCATGGGAAATCTGGAAAAACAGATGGGACGTGCAACTTTGACCACCCTAGAAAATGCCGTGCCCATATGACAAACTCCCTTCCTGTAAGTTTTTTCCTGTAATGCAAACTCCCTGTAAACTTTTTCACCCTGAAATGTGTCCCTCTTCAGTATAGGAAAGAGTGTGCTATAACTTATATTGCCAGGCACACCATCTAAAGGGGACAAAAAGATACAAAACATTCAGGCTTTGGGAAAACCTGGGTAGCCACAGTCACTCAAGAGGGAGAGGTCTTTTAGTGCCAGGAAGGAAAAAGAAAACTGGCAGGAAATGGCAGAAATAGTACGCCAAATCCAGTCATTTCTGGAGTGGAACCACAGTCGATGGCCTCCACTCCATACCAAGAGATACAGATACTAGCGCCAGAAAAAAAGTCCCCCCCAGTACCACCAATACCACCAGTCTGATGACATTCTTCTTTGCAAATATACAGGGTCTAAAGCCAGCAACGAACAACAAAATACCTTTCATCCGTGGACTGCTTGCAGAGGCAAATGCAATGTTCGCGGCTTTAACAGAGACCCACATAAAGGATCACTTGGACAACGAAATATGGATCCCAGGTTACAACCTATACAGATGCGACAGAGTGAACAGGCAAAGAAAGGGGGGTTGGCGTGTATATCGCAGTCACTTATTTGCACAGAACTGCTTAATGCCTCAAATGATGTAGTGGAAGTTTTAGCAGTAAAGATCGAGAACCAAAACCTAGTCATTGTGGTAGTCTACAAGCCTCCGGATGCAACGTCCCAGCAATTCCAAGAATAGCTGTTAAAAATTGACCACTGTCTGGAAAATCTTCCAGCTCCTGCCCGCAACATCTTGCTCCTGGGGAATTTCAACTTGAGGCACCTAAAATGGAGGAATATAGCAAATAATGTTGTTACAGTGATAACACCACGAGGCAGCTCTGACGAGAACTCACACACACACGAGCTTTTAAATCTCTGCACAAAATACAACTTAAACCAGCAAATAATAGAGCCTACTAGACTGGAGAATACACTAGACCTCATCTTCACTAACAATGATGATCTGATACGAAATGTCATCATATCAAAAATAATATACTCAGATCACAACATAATCGAGGTTCAGACATGTATGCGCGGAGCCCCAGACCGACAAAATGAGATTAGTCACGAGGGAGCCTTCACCAAATTCAACTTCAATAACAAGAACATAAAGTGGGGCCAAGTAAACCAAGTCCTAAACGAAATAAGCTGGGAAGATAGACTAAGCAACACAGACCCCAACTTATGCCAAGAACAGATTAACTCGGTGGCACTCGATGTATGCTCAAGGCTTATTCCTTTAAGAAAAAGGAGGAGTTGATGTAAAATAGAAAGAGACAGGCACTCCCTTTACAGGCGATGGAAAAGAATAACAGAGCGGCTAAAAGAGGCCAATATATCTGAAGTGCGTTGGGAGTCACTGGTCAGAGAAATAGCAGACATCGAACTTAAGCTAAAGGAATTTTATAGGAGTCAGGAATCGTGGGAAGAACTAAAAGCCATAAATGAAACCGAAAGAAACCCAAAGTATTTCTTTTCTTATGCCAAATCAAAGTCGAGAACAACATCCAGTATTGGGCCCCTACTTAAACAAGATGGGTCCTACACAGATGACAGCAAGGAAATGAGTGAGAAACTCAAGTCCCAATATGACTCAGTTTTTAGCAAGCCGCTAACCAGACAGAGTCGAAAATCAAAATAAATTTTTTATGAGAGAGCCACAGAATTTGGTAAGCACAAGCCTATCTGATGTTATCCTGACGCCAAATGACTTCGAACAGGCGATAAATGACATGCCCATGCACTCTGCCCCAGGGCCAGACTCATGGAACTCTGTGTTCATCAAGAACTGCAAGAAGCCTCTATCACGAGCTTTTACCATCCTATGGAGAGGGAGCATGGACACGGGGGTCGTCCCACAGTTACTAAAAACAACAGACATAGCCCCACTCAACAAAGGGGGCAGTAAAGCAATAGCAAAGAACAACATCCCATATCATAAAAATCTTTGAAAGGGTCCTAAGAAGCAAGATCGCCACCCATCTAGATATCCATCAATTACACAACCCAGGGCAACATGGGTTTAGAGCAGGTCGCTCCTGTCTGTCTCAGCTACTGGATCACTACGACAAGGTCCTAGATGCACTAGAAGACAAAAAGAATGCAGATGTAATACATACAGACTTTGCAAAAACCTTTGACAAGTGTGACCATGGCGTAATAGCGCACAAAATGCGTGCTTAAGGAATAACAGGAAAAGTTGGTAGATGGATCTATAATTTCCTCACAAACAGAACACAAAGAGTAGTAGTCAACAGAGTAAAGTCTGAGGCGGCTACGGTGAAAAGCTCTGTTCCACAAGGCACAGTACTTGCTCCCATCTTGTTTCTCATCGTCATAACTGACATAGACAAGGATGTCAGCCACAGCACCGTGTCTTCCTTTGCAGATGACACCCGAATCTGCATGACAGTGTC